CTCACAACACAACCAAATAAAGAAACGCACTGCAAATGCTCACAACACAAACAAATAAAGAAACGCGCTGCAAATACTCACAACACAAACAAATACAGAAACGCAAATACAGACCACAACGGGAGGACCCCAACAATGCAAAAATTACTCCAACAAAACGAAAATTAACCATGTTTTTTTTGTATTTATTATCATTTGTATAACCACGGTTGTACAAATACCATGGTTAAACTATGGTTAGTGTAGTAAATCCATGGTTAATTTGTGGTTACCATGGTTTAACTATAGTAACCATTTTTTGTTTTTATTTATTTTTTACATAATAAGTGTATTTATTAATTAATTAATTTTAATAGTAAAACCATATGGTTAATTTTTGTAAGAGAAGTTGTAAAGTAAGTTAGCCAGCTTACATGCTTTCACAGCTACAGTAATTGTGTATTTCGTCAGCTTATTTAGGCTAATAATAATAAAAAAATAAAAAAGAAGAAGAAGCAAAGGAATCGTATGATCAGGATGTAAAATAAACAAAAATCTCACCTTTCAGAGCAAACATTGATAAATATGTCCCAGCCATGTTCGTCACTTTGCGGTTCGCTTAAACATTTCCGATGTGGTCTGTGTCTATTTGCAGCGCGTTTCTTTATTTGGTTGTGTTTTGAGCATTTGCAGCGCATTTCTGCTTTTGCAGAACGTTTCTTTATTTGGTTGTATTTGGTTCTGTTTTTGCAGCGCGTTTCTTTATTTGTTTGTGTTGTGAGTATTTGCAGCGCGTTTCTTTATTTGGTTGTGTTGTGAGCATTTGCAGCGCATTTCTGCTTTTGCAGAACGTTTCTTTATTTGTTTGTGTTGTGAGTATTTGCAGCGCGTTTCTTTATTTGGTTGTGTTGTGAGCATTTGCAGCGCATTTCTGCTTTTGCAGAACGTTTCTTTATTTGTTTGTGTTGTGAGTATTTGCAGCGCGTTTCTTTATTTGGTTGTGTTGTGAGCATTTGCAGCGCATTTCTGCTTTTGCAGAACGTTTCTTTATTTGTTTGTGTTGTGAGTATTTGCAGCGCGTTTCTTTGTTTGTGATGTGAGTATTTGGAGCACGTTTCTGTTTTTGCAGCGCGTTTCTTTATTTGATTGTGTTGTGAGTATTTGCAGCGCGTTTCTGTTTTTGGTTGTGTTGCTTTTGCATTTGCAGCGCATGTGTTGTCAATTTGATGAAGATGTTTTCTTAATTTGCGGGTGTTTTTTCTATTTGCATGTGTTTATTCATTTGCAGCGCGTTGAGCTCTCTCGGCTACCTTACAAAGGCACATTCAAAGCCCAACTGCGTCAAGGTACATATAAAATTGCACTCAGGGCAAGAATGTAGGAAATTTCCAAAGCACTCGAACATACCTTGAAGAAAAGTAAACAATGTGGCAAAAATTTGTAAGAACTGTGAATCTGCTCAGAACTTTTTTCAGCAAATTGTTTGTCAAGGTGTTCAAGTTTCTGGTGCCTGGAAGTTTCTATTATGCCTAGTAAGACCTTGATTAGCTTGTTCAGGTGTGTTTAATTAGGGTTGGAGCTAAACTCTGCAGGACTGAGTTTGGACACCCCTGGTCTAGGTGTACAGAGCCTTAGTAAAAGAGTCATGAAAAGGAACACAGGAAAAGTTCACAGGAACTATAGAAGTTACAGCTCTCCATAAAAGATTGAAGAACATGTTCTTGAGACAACAAGAACATAAACAATTAATAACTCTGTAGTCTTGTAAGTCTTGTATATAAGAGCTCAAATCACATCTCAGGTGGAATTTTCCCAAAGGAATGAGAGTGACTGAATAATTTCCATGGTCCAATTAGGTCAAATGTGGATGCTTAAAGTAGGGTGACCATACGTGCCATTTTCACAGGACGCGTCCTGGCCAGGATTTCTATATTGCTTTGATTCAAAGTACCTCGACAGCGTTTCGAAAACACAAGGAACTGATGTCATACACCGATCAGTCTGCACACGCAAACAAAGCCAAACACTAGATATTTTAGACAATATAGAAATCCTGGCCAGGACGCGTCCTGGGAAAATGGCACGTATGGTCACCCTACTTAAAGGAATAGCTTACCCACAACTGAAAATTTGCTGAGAATTAAGCACCCTCTGGCCATCTTCATTGGAACAGATTTTAAGAAATTTACTATTACATCACTTCAGCAAATAGCTCATCTGCAGTGAATGGGTACTGAGAATGAGAGTCCAAATAGCTGATAAAACCATTACAGTAATCCACATGACTCCAGTGAAGTAAAGAAATGTGTTAGTAATAAACTGATCATTAAGATGTTGAACGACATTGAGACGATAAACTCGTATCTTGGCATAAGCAATAGTTAAAAATGTATAAAGGCCTTAATGATGGATTTGCTTCTTACAAACATGCAGCTTTTTCATGTTACTTGATGGACTGGAGTCATGCAGATTACTTGTTGATTGTTGTGATGTTTTTTATCAGCTGTTTGGGCTTTCTGACGGCACCCATTCACTGCACAGGATCCATTGGCAAGCAAGTGATGTAATGCTAAATTTCTCCTAATCTGTTCTGATGAAGAAACAAACTCTCTCTATATATACCTATATCTTTGATGGCCTGAGGATGAGTACATTTTCATTAAATTTTCATTTTTGTGCAAACTATTTCTTTAAATGTAAATATCACAAATAGCATCATTGCGGTGAAGCATGGTAGCTTTATGTTTCAGGGATCGTACTCAGGGACAGGAACCTCTGACAGACTACCTTCATTTATTTGATGGGCTTCTGAACAGACTGTTAAGTTGCACATTATTTCAGTGAAGCACTTCTCGGCTTGGTTTCCCTTCATTTCCTTCCCAGGTAAAATCTTTATTCACTCTTGTCTCACTTTCAGATGTATGGACGCTATACACAGGAGTTGGGGGCCTATGCCAAAGAAGAGGCAGCTCGTCTGCGTGAGGATGGAGCGCTGCGGAGGACCGCCAGTGTGCGCGGCCAGGCTCCAGAACTGCTGGAGTATGAGAAGGACCCGTGTGCCAAGTGTCAAGGTGGGTGTGTTGCATACATACGTGTGCGCCAACTGTTTGCTGGCTGGTCTGCTAGCGTCATAGCTTACTATTTACAGCAGTGGCTACATAGCAAAGCTAGGAAAGCAGAGCAAATCCACAAGGATGAACGGCAGCAGGGATCGAAAGAGGAAAAGGGTCGCAAAGGGCAGGAGGCAGAAGAGTTAGTGAGAACATGTTGGAATTGGGGATTAGGTGAGACTGATGCTGGAGATGAGTGGGAGGGATTTGACTCAAGATCTGAGCTTTACTCTGGCTGAGTAAGGCTGATGAATCAACAGTCTTGTGCAGGCCCACAAGGAATCAGTTGCAGTAGAACTTCGCATAAAGATTTAAGCTTTTCCTGCAGGACTGGAACAGTTGTACTTTCATCTCTATCTAACACAGTGCTTCTCAAACTTTTGGAGTTCAAAGCCCCCCTTTGTCCAAGACAATATTCAGAGGCCCTCCAATCTAAGCTGATGTATATACCTCTAGTACTTCTGTAAACAAAGTTTTAATAATTCTTTATAATTAGTGGGGTTTTTAGCATTTCAATGAAGATTATGTTAATAGAATTTAAGAAATTTTAAAACTTATTAGGGTTGTGCTAATAGACGATAGAATCGTGTATCGACAATAGTCAGAGATATCGCCTGTGACTGATGCCTTTGACGAAAGCAAGATGATGATGATGATGATTATTATTATTATTTTTATTATTATTATGATTCTTCTTCTTATTATTATTATTATCATCATCAGGCTAGTAATACTATCTAATTAATATTAGGGCTTATTTGTTCTATCATATTTCTTTTTCCACGTTTTTACAGTGTTGCACGTTATAACCAATCACACATGATTCTGTTGACTTTATGAATGCAATGGCCAATCAGAGGCATTCAGATGAGTCATCGCTGAAACACCAGAGTTTAGCTGTTCATTGCATGCGCGTGCTGACTGAATTCTGCTCTCTCGCGAATTCTCTCATCATAAACAACAAAGTGCAGATGTACATGCGATGTAAGTATAAGAGATTTATTCATCATACAGTGTAGATAGCTTCACTGATTATAACGGGAGTGTTTTTTAAAGTGCATAATACTCTTGCTAGACTGAAGTCAGTGATGTTTTTTGGTAATGTAAATGTTCTTTGCTCGTTTTCTGTAGCTGCTGTTTGAATAACTGAGGTAACTGTAAGCATTATAATTAGTAACTTACAATGTTTTTATTAAATTGTTATCATGTTAAATACAAATTCAGGCATATTAAAAACATTAGGGTGCTTTTGGCCTTATGCTAGAGTTGGTTCACTTTCCCGCAATGAAACTAAGTAAACAAATAAATTAGCATGATAATATTGTGTATCGGCGATCTCACAGGCTGACGACAGGACGATATGACAGTTGAGCATATCGGCCAATTATTGTCTATAGATTATCCTTGATAATCCTTGATTATTGTCTCGCCTTGCACACGTCATCAGAGAAGAAATGTCATTGCTCAGAGGTCGGGGAAGTTATTTTGATTCAAAATTAGAAGGATACATGAATACAAATATAATGACCTGTACCAATAAATTATTTATAAAAAATAAACACTGCAAAATTCCAATATTTTGCAATATTTTATAAATTTTTTTTTTTTTTTTGGTTATTTTAAAAAAAAAATTAATACTTTTATTTAGCAAAGATCTCGCCTTGCACACGTCATCAGAGAAGAAATGTCATTGCTCAGAGGTCGGGGAAGTTATTTTGATTCAAAATTAGAAGGATACATGAATACAAATATAATGACCTGTACCAATAAATTATTTATAAAAAATAAACACTGCAAAATTCCAATATTTTGCAATATTTTATAAATTTTTTTTTTTTTTTGGTGACTTTAAAGAAAACATAAATTACAAAAATAATGATAGTACTTATGTTTTGTCAATGTACCCAGACAGCGATCAAGCAGCCGTTGCTATGGTAACCCCCTCAGATGGCACGACTTCTGTTTGTGCTCTGATTAATCTAACTTTTGTGGTTGATGAAACCCTACCTGAAAACAATTTTTTCCTCTGTATGTAAAAGTTATACATAGTTTTGAGTCCTCCCCCTCTTCCTTAGGGGATTTTGAATAAGGGGAGACAGACTCCACAAAGGGCACCAACACCATAGTTCAAACACTGACTGCTGTTCTGACAAGGGTTGTTGACTAACTTAACCAGCAAGACTTTCTTGGTCAACCAGCATCACCATAATACAACATGCTGGCCAACCAGCTTTGTTAGCACTGAACCAGCACTAACCAGCATAAAGCATAGCTTTTATCATATTTAAATCCATTTCACGTATTTTCAACAAGGTTCATCAGGGTCTGCTCTAGGGATATGCCGGTATCAAATTTTAATGTTGCGATTAATTGCTAATGCTTTTATTACGGTATACGGTATTATCACGATATTTCATATACTGTATTTGAGGCAGTTCAGTGAGACAGGATATGGTCATGTCTGACGCTTGCAGATGTGGCATTTTACCTCCTGGTTTCTAGATTGCCCTCTACTGGTGATTAATTGTCACTGGTTTGTGTAGCTGTGTAGTCGTTGTTTATCAATTTGTCAGGCACATTCCACAGTGTCATCACCTGAATCTTAAAGGCATCTTCATGGTCTTCACATTTATGGTGGAGACAGTTTCCCCAATAATTTTTCAAGCATTGACGCTGAGCGTTTGCTGTTGTCTAGCCTGTAAACAACAACTTACAGCATTTATCAGCCTTTTCAATTCCCTCCACACCTCTGTGCAGTGCTCGCCATTCACCAGCAGGGAGCATAATCAGTCTGCGCTGTTTAGGGGTGATAGATGAGACACGTAGACGTGCAGTGTATCTGTAATGAGCCACTGTGTCTTTGTGTGTGCCTGTGCATCTGTGTCTAGAAGTACCTCACCGTTCACCAAAGGATGTGTTATAAGGATCCGTTACATTTGAGTTTAGAGATAAAAACTATTCGCGTAGCAGTGATTTCTTTTTTCATTTAATGGTACGTTAAGATGATTGGCTGAAAAAAGAGAGCTTTGAACAAAAGCAGTGGCCATTCATATTGGAAGTCTGTGATAAATTCCCTGAACTATTAAAAAAAAAAAAGTTGAGTTCTCATTAAATAGGCAACAGTGTCTCGCAGTCCAACGTTTTTAGTGCTAATGAGGTATCTCATTGGTTTCTTGAAATATAAATAGACTGCTCTTTTGGCCTTGTGTAATCTCCAAAGACACACAGCATCTGTCTCAATATCATCCTTCCCGCCTCCCTGTTGAGTGTGAAAAGCATGAGAAATCTATCAGCACAGTGTGCAGCGCAGGTCTTCTGATCCTCCTTGACTGAGTTTGAGGGGTTTGGAGGCTTGTCAGCTCACTACCTACACACCGGTCTACAGAGCTGGCATCATATGTCTGTTTCTTTCTCTCTGTGTCTGTCTCATTTCTATTTTATTCCTTCATCCTACTGTAATTCTGTTCCTAAACCAAGCGAGCTGCCACGCTGCACACTGCCTACATAGGTGGCTACCTACTAAGGCATCCTAACCTTCATGAAACCTCATAAGTGACTGATTTGAAGCGCTCTGCATATGCAGCAACACGTACATTGGGCTCTGCACTGGATTTTCATCTCTAATAGCTTGCCATTAGCTTGTTAAGCTGACTGCATGGTGCTCTAATAACTATATATAACTATATTATCATTACCTTAAAGTACTGAGGAAAGTAGATATAACCAACATTTGTTTGAGTTTACTTGCTATTGATAAAATGATACACTAATTAAAGGTATAGTTCACCCAAAAATTTAAATTCGGTCATTAATCACTCACCCTCATTTCGTTCCAAACCCGTAAGACCTTCGTTCATCTTCAGAACACAAATTAAGATATTTTTGATGAAATTCGAGAGCTTTCTGGCCCTGCATAGACAGCAATGCAACCGACACGTTCAAGGCCCAGAAAGGTAGTAAGAACATTGTTAAAATCGTCCATGTGACATCAGTGGTTCAACCGTAATTTTATCAGGATACAAAAATACTTTTTGTGCGCAAAAAAGCAACAACTTTATTCAACAATTTCTTCTCTTCCCAGTCCGTCTTCGATGCACGTTCACAACAGTACCATGCATAGCCACTGATCCCGTGACACATGTCTCCGTTCATTTTAACCTATAAGAAATGGACTTTACGACTTTATCCTTATTTTTATAGTTAATTTGAGGCAGTTTTTGGCATTCTTTTAATTGCAAATGTCAAGAGTGCATTATTGTAATACGAGAGGGCACCAGCACAAATCTCTCGGCTTGCTCTCCCATATATATAGTGATCAAGGCTCTGCGCTCACTCAGATATTAGGCTACGTGTGCGCCCTCAAACTCTGTCCTGTGTACACGCGAATAAGTGCTTATTGTAAACATGTATTTAATAAACAATTTTATTTAGTGAAGCGCAACCCTCATAGAAAGAATTTGTGTATTACTCGGTTGGTAATGTATTTGCAGTCCGTGCGTTTCACTTCGCAACATACATTTTGTGTAGTGAATTCATCAAATGCACAAAAATTCATCTTTGCCCACAAAAAGTATTTTTGTAGCTTCCTAAAATTACGGTTGAGCAACTGATGTCAAATCGACTATTTTAACGATGTTCTTGAATGTGTCAGTTGCGTTGCAGGATCATAAAGCTCTCGGATTTCATCAAAAATATCTTAATTTGTGTTCCGAAGATGAAGGTCTTGCAGGTTTGGAACGACATGAGGGTGAGTAATTAATGACAGAATTTTCATTTTAGGGTGAACTATCCTTTTAAAATTCATAGAAGCACACTGAGATATTGGGTATGATAATACATTTTATTCACACTAAACAATTTTCTCAGTACTTTTAAGTATTGTGCAAAGGATTTTTTCACAGTGTGCTTTGGGATTGCCTTTGCTGTGAAGGATATGTGTGATGTGTTGGCCATAAGAGAGTATCTTGGCAGGCAGCATAATTAAGATGTCTACCTTTTGGTCGAGAGCATGCTTATGATGTTTTTTAAATGTGGCCTTTGTAGGCAGCTCATTAGCTTTTGAGATGAAGTCAGTGTTGTTTTGTCAGCTTCTTATAAAATAATTTAATAAATTCACGTATAAATATAGGCAGTCGCGGTTTGTGCTTTCTGGGCCTGTTTCCAGAATACAACAACATATTTGAGTTTATTAGCGCTTGACCTACACAGTACAATAGAGTATAACCGACCACTAATAGCAGTTGTCAAATTTCTCCACCTACAGTCTGAGCTGCACTATATAAAATTTCCATTTTCCTCCAGTGTTTCTGCCTGCTCCAGTTTATTCTTTACCCCAGTGATGTGTAATTGCAAAAGAGAAATGTATTGATTGATTTAGATGGTCAGTTTTTAATAAAACAGGTAGGATTTTTTTTTTATCAGATGGCCTGGTTAGATTTTTAATTACCCTGACAAAATTTTCACTGGCATCAGCACAAAAAAAAATGTATGTAGTGATAAATTTTTATATGTTCTAGAAATAATCTAGATATGTTTCATTGAATGTAGGCTCTGTTTACAAATAGACCTGCATTTTTATGACAACTTCATGGCAAAGTGACACATTTATAAACATACTTTTGCTTAACAATAATGGCATGCAGTACAAAACATGGTTAACTATATTTTATTTGGATAGTCCACTTTAGACATTCTACAGTTAACAGTCTACTAACGACTAATGCTCAAATGACTAATGGTTGACATGTAGGCTAGTTGCAAAGTTACTTATAGTTAGTAGAAATTGCAGTACCAAAATAAAATGTTATCCAAAACATTAGGGATCTCTAATTTTGCTCTGTAATAAACCAGATTATTGAAATCAAACAGTGTGCCTTGATCAACTTATTTTGATTAAGCATATTTTGTACATTTGTCAAAACAAGTTGCATGCTTTTTCGTTTGAGATCTGGCATCATATATGCCCATAAGCAAACAGAGCATATAAGCACATATCTCTCTCTCTCCCTTGTATAATTAGACTTTATTTGTGAATTTTAAGATGACAGAGGGGGGTAGATTTGCGACAAGCTGTCAGCATCCTGCTGTTTGTTCTCTATGCAACTTTAGAGCGAAATCCTACCACCATAGCCGACTTAATGTTTTGGATCTGTGGATAAAAACAGAGAACTGGCAGTGGTCCACCAGCTCGCCCTCATGGGAAACTGTGAGGCTCAATGCAGAAAATGCCGCATAAGTTGTCATATCAGGCAGAAAGGGGGCCGATACTATTGCCTCTCACCGAACCTCCTACACATTTCTACTCGCTCTGGGGATATAAATAGATCTTGGATATATAATACATTGTTATATTATGCATGCATGCCACATAAGGATGTCACTTCCAGTGCTGGCCTGTGACTCACTTGTCAAAGACACTAAAATCTGTGTGGGGAAGCATGGGCTCTGCATATTTTTTACGGTTATTCCTCAAACTCCAATTAAGTGTCAAAATATGCCGCATCTCAGCACTTCTGTCTGGTGCGGTTTGGAGATAAGCACTGCAGGTTTGCGCGTCCAAAATGCGTCTTGAGTTGTGGTAAATTTGGTTCGGCTTATTGCTTTCTCGGTTGTGGATTGTTACAGGGTTTATTTTGAAAGCAAAGGCATCTGTTGTGCCACTTCAGTGGGCAAATCTGCCCGTGTGCCAACTCCCTCACAGAGGAGCCGGGCAAAGGGCCGCTGAGAGGGTGCTGAAGCTGGCGGGGCAGCGTCTCTGTCACATACTCAGAGGTGTCCCTTCACCTGCCGTGACCCTTCCCTTTCCGCTGTCTTTCAGATGCGTCTTATCTTCACACACACAAGCCATTTCCTGTCTGGGTCTCCGCAACCCTGTCCACCTATGCAACAGCGCAATTGTTCACACTCTGTTTTCTCATGAGTCTGGAAACATGGGATTCCAGGGGAAAACAAGCTTTTATGAGCAATTGTTCACTTCGTTAAAGCATACTGTGCACCTACTGCTGGGTTCGGGTAATTGCTCTGGGTTGTTCATTTCCTATTCATTCAGCCTGTATCTATGAACACAAAGAAGAGGGAAATGGTGGATGTTTTAGGTGCTTAATGGATTAGATCACTCAAAAATGAAAATGATGACTACATTCACTCACCCCCTGGTCATTAAAAACCAATGAAACCAAAGAAATGGAACATGAATGTAGAAATTTGAAGAATTTTGCTGGTTGCTCTTGGCATGCAATCGCGATTAATCACATCCAAAATAAGTTTTTGTTTACATAATATATGTATGTGTGCTGTATATATTTATTATGTATATATAAATACACATGCATGTATATTTCAAAAAAAATATGTTATGTTTATATATTAAATATATTTATTTATAATATAAATTATATGAATATAAATATAGACATGTAAATACATGTAAATATTTTCAAAATATATACTGTATGTGTGTGTATTTATATATACATAATAAATATATACAGAACACACATATATTATGCAAACAAAAACCTTTATTTTGTACGCGATTAATCGTTTGACAGCACTAATATACGTATATATATATATATATATATATACATAAACTATTAAGTACACAACTGTTATAACATTGATACAGAACATTGCTAATAATAAGAAATCAACATGTTAGAATGATTTCTGAAGGATCATGTAGCACTGAAAATTCAGCTTTGCCATCACAGGAATAAGTTAAATTTTAAAATATATTCAAATAGAAAACAGTTATTTTAAATTGTAAAAGTATTTCAAAATATTATTTTTTTTACTGTGTTTTTGATGAAATAAATGCCGTCTTGGCCTGCAGAAGAGACTTCTTTCAAAAACATAAAAAAACGTACAGACCCTAATCTTTTGAACAGTAGCATATACAGGTGCATCTCAATAAATTAGAATGTCGTGGAAAAGTTCATTTATTTCAGTAATTCAACTCAAATTGTGAAACTCGTGTATTAAATAAATTCAATGCACGCAGACTGAAAATATTTTTTCATGCTGCTTTTGCATATTTTTAAGCTTCAGAGCATTGGTGCTCATTACTCAGAACTGCTTGGACAGGAGCAAACAGCATATTATTATAATTCACTGTTTGCAAAAAAAAAGAAAGTAATACAGGTTTGCAATGACATTAGGGTGAGTAAATGATGACAGAATTGTCATTTTTTTGGTGAATTATTTCTACAATGTCTGTCTGCAGTCTGTACGTCACGGTGTAAGAAGTTCTTGATTTCCCGTGTGGGTGAAGACTGGATCTTTCTCATCCTCCTGGGGCTTCTCATGGCATTGGTCAGCTGGGCCATGGACTACACTATTGCCTTCTGCCAGCAAGGTGAGAGAGAAAAGAATGAAAAGAAAGAAAAGGACAATGTTCTGCTTGACAGGGTTCCATGAAAGTACAGATGGTGTCATTTAATAATTTTTTTCAGTGGGATATCGTCATCATGTGTATTCTGGGATGGGAGGGACATTAATGCCTGAACGAATTGGTGCCAACTCACTGACCTCTTTTTTTACAAAAGAATCCGTTTATTTACAAGGACTGGGGTGTGGCAGTTCAGTCAATTAACAAAAAGGCACAGAATTGTCTTAGTTACATATCAAGGGCAGTTTTTTTTTGCGTTGCATCATTAAGTGACATCAAGTGCTTTCCACATATAAAAACACCTCAGAAATTTACAAAAATGACAAATAGTACTTTTAGATATGTTAAGACAGATATGTTAAATGATGTACAGTCACATGAAATGAAGACTCCAGTCATATCAATGGCCCAAAAAAAGGTATTTTATTTTACACAGGGCCTGAGTCCACACCATGGTCTTGCAATGTCGCGTGGAATGTACATGAATAGTCTATAGCTGTACCAAATGACCATACATTATGCAATTTTACTATGTACTATATTCATACCATCTAGTGTATGAATTTTAGACAGTTGAGTGCATGTTGAGTACATTAAGTACATTTTTTTTGGTTCATTAAGTGCACCATCTGGGTATATGAAGTGTGCTTTTTCCTTTTGCAATTTTCAATATGAACACACTACTCACACCATTTATACTACAAATGGCATAGAATAGCGCATAAGTACACAGATTGGAACACATCTTATTCCTCTATAGAGATGTAATTATATGGTGTGTGTGTCGTGTCTGCAGCACAGAAGTGGATGTATGGTGGTCTGCACAGTAACATGTTGCTGCAGTACCTGGCCTGGGTCACTTACCCAGTGGTTCTCATCACCTTCTCCGCCGGCTTCACACAGATACTGGCGCCACAGGCAGTGGGTGAGATATGCACACACACTCACCCATGCTCACATAATCAATTTAAGCCAAATGGCCTTTACGTGTTCTCAGATCTCTTAGTAACCCCCTTCGTCTTTTCTTCCTCTAGGCTCTGGGATCCCAGAGATGAAGACCATTCTCCGAGGTGTGGTGCTGAAAGAGTACCTCACTTTCAAAACCTTCGTCGCCAAAGTGATTGGCTTAACTTGTGCCCTTGGAAGTGGCATGCCTCTAGGCAAAGAGGTGCATGAGAGGGGATATCTGATCCTAGATAAGCATTCTAATGCTAAAGTACTTCAAGCCTTCGCCCTGTGATCACATCTGTTATTTCTATCTCCTCTTGCATCCTCTAGGGACCATTTGTTCATGTTGCCAGTCTGTGTGCTGCTCTGTTGAGCAAATTCATGGCCTTGTTTGGAGGAATCTACATGGTGAGATGCTTTCTACTAATGCTGTCTTTTGTCAGTAACTTTCTGACATTTCATACTTTGGTAACACTTTATAATACCTTCCACTAACAAACATAATTATAATATGCGCTACAGAACATTATTTACAATCAAATAATCAGAAATGTATTATACAGTGGCTACATTAAGAATTTGCACCCTTTTGGGCACTTAAAATTGTATGAATCTCATTGCATTAGATAACAAATGTGAACATGCTCCAAGATTTTGCTCTTTTGTACACACGGCACAAGTTTGAATATATCTGATATGTTCAGACTCTTCTTGAAAAGAAAAAATGAATTAAAACAACAATCGTTGGGGAACCATCTACTAATAATATTTGACTGTACGTTAACTATTGATCAATTAAACATCATATAACATTTGTTAAATGCATCTTAATGAAATGGCCTATAAATAATGACCTATTAATGAGAGATATTACAAAGCGTTACCAATGCCTTGTGTTTGTATCATCACTTTACATGTCACTGCACTTGGAACGTCATGGCCTTGTTCTTCCAGTCTCATCTGCGTGTATCATACAAACAAGCAGCTGAGGGATCTCTAGGGTTTTTGGTTAGTCTGTGATTAGTCGGAGTACATAAGGTATCAGTTCTCAAGGGAATTGCAAGCGCAGTGAATGGAGCCGTTTGTAAATCATGCTAAAATGAGTCAAACGGCCTTCGTGTGATACCATATCAACCCTCTAGACTTGCCCACAAAGTAACCTAAGAAATCACAGCACGCTGGGGAATGGATCAATAACATGTTGTTAGAGCAGAGTGAATCTGACAGAAAATCGGAGACCATAAACATTATGGCACATTTTAACTGTTTCACTGTAATTGAATGCACTTTAATTAGGCAAATGTCAATGGCATGTTTACACAGTCAGTCAGGCAGTGGGGTCCGGGAGAAAACGGGCTGTGCTGATAATTATTTGTCTGACAGACACCTCATACCTGTGGGTGTTACTTTGATATTGGGATATGAATGAGCACCAATTAGTGCCAGGGTAAAAGAAAAATACTCTAGTAGCAAAATGGAGGGGATTATGTAAGCCTGTTTCTGCCACTGAATAAAAAATAAAAAAGGTAATAGTGAGATTTTTTTTCTCACAATTGTGAGCTTACATCACACAATTCTGACTTTTTTCTCAGAATTGTGTGATGTAAACTAACAATTGCGATATAAAGTCAGAATTGCGGGATATAAAGTCGGAATTCTGAAATAAAGTCAGAATTCTTTTTTTTAACCATTACCCTAACCCTGTCAGAACTGGACATTATTAATCACAATTACAAGTTTATATCTCACAATTCTGAAAAAAAGTCAGAATAGCTAGATATAAACTCACAATTGCGGGAAAAAAAGGCAGAATTGTGAGTATATCCTGCTATTCTGACTTTATAACTCGTAATTGTGAGTTTGTATCAGGTAATTCTGAGGTAAAAAAGTCAGAACTGCTAGATGTAAACTCACAATTACGAGAAAAGCAGTCAGAATTGTGAGATAAAAACTCACTATTACCTTTTTTCTTTTTTATTCAGTGGCAGAAATGGGCTTCCGTAGGGGATAATGTTGCCATATAGAGGGAAAAATTCCCTATGACATCAGAATAATTTATAGGGGTGATTGCGGTTTATCAATAAGATTTAATACACGACTGAATGATTAGAACGATCATTTTTAATTAAATTATTTATTTTTTGTAGATACAGACTTGAAACAACAGCAGTGTAAGTACTTAAAGTATTGATAGGTTTTGAAAGAACAGAGTGCAGATACTCACATGTATGTGTGTTATTTTGATTTACTGCTGAAGGAAGAGCCCTTTGAGGGAAACAAGGTAAGATGCAGGTATTATTATGTTTGGGTGTGTCCATGTGATCAGATTGATTGAAAGTGTTATAATGAAAAGAAAAAGCGAATTTATTTTTTTTTTAAATCTCCATTTGTGATTCTTTTTTTCTCAAGTTTGCCATTTTTCCATTGTAATTTAGAGTCTTACTGGACTTCATCCTCCCTGGCCGTAGCAAACCGTTCACAAAGATAGCACATAGTGAATGAAAGAGCAGTGTTTGTCCATTTTTTTATTGTGTTCATAGCAATACCTTGTTCCGCATGTCGTTGCCATGTATCCGTCAGTGTAATTACCCTGTTCCACTTTTAGCTGCCTGTAAAATGCCACGACAACAGTCGTTTGAAACAGGATTTGCATGTATTGGGTTTTCTTGTTAATCTGACAGAACGAGCTGAGAAACACAGAGATGCTGTCAGCCGCCTGTGCAGTGGGGGTGGGCTGTTGCTTTGCAGCCCCTATTGGAGGTAAGTCCAGACATTGTGATCATAGCTGGCCACTGGAGATAACGCCATATCACATTTACGACAGTAACGTTTCCCTGTATACTTCCAGCTTTGAGCAGAGTTGTTTGTCATATGATCTGCTGTGTTGTGGCAGGAGTGCTGTTTAGTATTGAGGTCACATCTACGTTCTTTGCTGTGAGGAACTACTGGAGAGGATTCTTCGCTGCAACCTTCAGTGCCTTTATCTTCAGGGTGCTGGCGGTGTGGAATAAGGATGAGGGTGAGGGAGAAATCCGTCATGATAGCCAGCACAGTCAGATTTTTCATTCGTCATAAATTTCTGTCATTCTCTCTTCGCCATATTGCAGAGACAATCACGGCTCTCTTTAAAACGCGTTTTCGTCTGGACTTTCCCTTTGACCTACAAGAGCTTCCAGCTTTTGCTGTGCTCGGGTTTGTGTCTCACCTTTGCCATCTTTCTCCTAAACACAAATTTGATTTACATCATTTAAATGATGGTAGTCAAAAGACAGATTTCCTGCAAACTGATATCCTTGTCTAAGAACATTTGTGTTAAAAATGTCTAAGCTCTTTAGAACTGTTTATTTGCAAAGCCTAAACTTCTTGTACTTGTGTTCTGGTTGACAGGCCAGGTTCACACATCTAGTCTGTAAATCCAACAAGTTAGTTATTCTTAGTTCTTAGCTGTAAAATAGAAATGTGCAGTGATCATAGTTATACAGTACCTCTTGTCATGTTTTATGAGATTGATGTTTCAGTTCTTCTGTTGTTAATGTTTTTTTAGGATTGCCAGTGGTTTTGGAGGGGCGTTGTATGTCTACCTGAACAGGATCATAGTGGAGTCTATGAGAAAACAGAAAACCATCAACAAGTTTTTGCTAAAAAAGTGAGTTTTTTTCACAGCTTCTCTTACATTAACAATAATTCTTGTTGTACAATGTATTTTGTTTAGGTACTAGCACAGCATAAAATTTCATTTCATTGTTAAGAATGTTACAAAACATTATCACTAAATAATAATTCAATTTTTATTTGTATTTTTTAAATAAATAAATAAAATGATTATTATATTATATTATAGTAACAAATGTATTTTTTAATATATAAAAAGCAATTATTCTTTCTCATGTTTGGCTTCCCATAGAAGACTAGTGTATCCAGCAGTGGTCACTCTTCTTGTCTCTACACTCACCTTTCCTCCAGGGTTTGGACAGTTTATGGCAGGCCAGGTCTGATGTTTGAGATTTACTGTGTGTCTCATTGAAATTTTCAGATTTCCTCTCTATATCTTTTTTCTTTCAACACAACCAGAATTTTTCAGTCTTTCAAGTGATCATTTTGTTCCAGATCAGTAATTATGCATTAAATAACAAACTGTGCTTCCTCCTCATTTAGCTGACTCAACATGAGTCACTAGTGGCACTGTTTGACAACCAAACCTGGTACAAGCAAGGTGTTTCTGAGGAGTTTGTGTACTCAAGTCACGTACCTCAGGCCTGGAAGCACCCACAAGTCAGTGTGTTCATCACACTCCTCCTCTTCATTGTCATGAAGGTGTGTCTCACCATATTATGTAAAATATAAAGGAAAATAAAAAGGAATAATTCAACCAGAAATGTACATTTGCTGAAAATATACTCACCTGCAGGCCATTCAAGATGTAGATTAGTTTGTTTCTTCATCAGAGCAGATTTGGAGAAATTTAGCATTCCTGCACTTGCTGACCAATGGATCTTCTGGAGTGAATGGGTGCCATCAGAATAAGAGTCTAAACAGCTGATAAAAACAGCACAATAATCCTAAAGTAATCCACATGACTGCAGTCCATCAATTAGCATTTTGTAAAGTGAAACGCTGCTGGTTTGTAATAAATAAATCCATCGAGATGTTTTAACTTTAAACTGTTGCTTCTGGCCAAAATAATGGTCTATAAGTCAATATATTGCTTCCTCCGGCGAACAAGTCCATCCCCTGTTGTTCTCTCAAATCAAAATCCACCAACATATTTCTTCAGAACTGTTTTTACTTGTAAACGGTGCTTGATCTGTGCATATTTATCCTTTATACCTTTTCACTGGAGAAATATTATGTATCCCTAATTGTATAATGTTATGGATAGAATACTTGTATTTTAGCCAGAAGCAATGGTTTGAAGTTAAAAACATGTTAATGATAGATTTGTTTATTATAAACGCACAGGATTTTGACTTCACAAGATGGTAATTGATGGACTGGAGTGGTGTGGATTACTTGTGGCAACTGTTTGGACTCTCATTCTGACGGCACCCATTCAGGATCCACTGGTGAGCAAGTGATGTAAATTTCTCTAAATCTGTTCTGATGAAGAAACAAACTTATCTACATCTTGGATAACCTGAGGGAAAGTACATTTTCAGTAAATGTTTATTTTTGGGTGAACTATTTCTTTAACAGCAATTTTAAACACTGGGCAATATGTGACAATATGTGACCCTGGACCACAAAACCAGTCATAAAAGGGTCAATTTTTTTAAATAAGCAAAAATATTATTTTTGTATATTATTATATACTTATATACTTAATTTTAATAAATAAGCTTTCCATTGATGTATGGTTTGTTAGGATAGGACAATATTTGGCCAAGATACAACTATTTGAATATCTGGAATCTGAGGGTGCAAAAAAATCAAAATGCTGAGAAAATCGCCTTTAAAGTTGTCCAAATGAAGGCCTTAGCAATGCATATTACTAATCAAAAATTAAGTTTTGATATATTTACGGTAGGAAATTTACAAAATATCTTCATGGAACATGATCTTTACTTAATATCCTAATGATTTTTGGCATAAAAGAAAAATCGATAATTTTGACCCATACAATGTATTTTTGGCTATTGCTACAAATATACCCCAGCGACTTAAGACTGGTTTTATGGTCCAGGGTCACATATGTGAATAATGTATGCAACATTGCATTATACTGGTTATTTTGTAATTGTTCTAGTTGCAAAAACAAAACATCTGGTCATATCGTCTCTGAAATGTCAATTACTCAGTATTAACTTTATTGAACTATGGACCTTTTTCACATTTCCGGCTTTCTCAGCTGCAGAAGTCATCATAGTTGGGTTAACTTGAAGAGCAGTGAATGGTAGAGTACCACAAATATATTTTTTGCATTCCCATTTGCTCAAATAGCAAAAGAAAAACTCCACGATAGTGTTTTCATGAATTTCAATAAAAGGAAAAAAATTGAGAGAGACTGATAACGGCAGTCAGAAGAGAGAACGATGTCAAATTTGCCATCGCTCCCATAGATGCTGCATTAGAAACACCCTCGCATTAGCGTTAACTAGTTTTTTTGTAATTTGATGCAAAGGTGATATAATACAAAGTATAGTGTTATAAATGTACATACATTTAAAAAAAAAATCAAAATATAAAAAACTTTCGAGGATTTATGATGCTGATGACTGTTAAATGCGTCATCACAGTCTTGTGAAAAGGGTCCATTGTGTATGTTGAATTGTGTTGATATATTAAAAACCAGCACAGTTTTGCAAAACTAGAGGTATTTCGTATTGCTTGGCGGGAAAGTAACCTATCCTACAGAAAAGCATTACAAACTGCTAGATCTGATTACTTTTCTTCTCTTTTAGAAGAAAACAAACAATCACAGCCGTCCGGATTTTCAGTACAGCATTGCGATTGCGACTGTGATATTGCTTAATTATTAAAAATTTCTTTGTCCAAGTGTGTGACCTTGTGGCTTCTAAATGTTTTCCTCAGTTCTGGATGTCAGCTGTGGCCACAACAATGCCTGTGCCTTGCGGGGCCTTCATGCCGGTTTTCCTCATTGGTATGTGATTATAGTGTGCGTGTGTCGTTTTTGAAAGTCAACACTGTGGGATATGCTTTTTTGGTTTCCATTTCAATTCAGTATTGAATGAGCAAGCAGTTGCACTTTATTTTACAGTACGTGTGCTTACATGTACTTACGGTGTACTTGCAGTGTACTTACCTAAGAAAGTACTGGTAATATAAGGTAACTACATGGGGTAGGGTTAGGTTTAGGGTTAGTATCTAGTTATTACCTAGTTATAGTAATTACTTTAATAAGTACACAGTATGTACATGAGTAACAGGACTGTAAAATAAAGTGCTACCGAGCGAGCACTTTTGAACATTATTTTGTTCTTGTGTTCATACCAGCCATTATACTTTAGTTTGTTCTTAATGGTTGTTTTCCTTTTCCCGCAATCATGTTCTCCATTTCCATCCCTCATCACTGTCTGACTCACTAAAGCCTGTGTGTAAACGTGTCAAAATCACTGGAGTCAATGTTTGTGACTTCACGTAAGTATTCGTCAAGCACGTGTTGGTGTTTTTTTTTTTCAAAATTGCTGTTTTTGCCACCTCCAGAATGTCATAGAATCTACAGTGTGAATTCTGTGTGTCGTACAGGAGCTGCGTTCGGTCGACTGGTCGGCGAGAGCATGGCCGCTGTCTTCCCCGAAGGGATACACGCCGACAGCACTGTATATCCCATAGTTCCCGGCGGATACGCAGTTGTAGGTGAGAGCGTAGATTGTGCATGCCTTCTCGCGGATGTCCATTTGTTTTCTTTCAAAAGCCATCAGTTTCAGCCCGTCGTAGCTATATCTTATTCACACACGTAATTGAACCTGCAGGGTGTTGTATTCAAGAGTCATACATTTTTCATTAACCCACACAGACCAACAGCCAAATTAGATCTTGCCTGTGGAAATGGCTTCAGCGGTAGCGCTGCATTGTGCAGCGGAGCAGAAAGCTTGTCAGGAGCACAATAGGAAATCAGATGGCTTGCGGCGGGTGACTGCTACTGTAATTTGATGCGGGATGAAATGGTGATTCCCACAGGGGCGGCGGCTCTTTCTGGTGCAGTCACTCACACCGTATCCACCGCCGTCATTGTGTTCGAGCTGACCGGACAAATCTCGCACATCCTGCCCGTGATGATCGCTGTGATTTTGGCCAATGCCGTGGCTCAGAGTCTGCAGCCTTCCCTCTATGATTCCATCATCCGGATCCAGAAACTTCCCTACCTGCCAGAGCTGGGCTGGGGACAGGAGTGAGGGCTGTTACGTAACTTCCCCAAATTATCACTCTCATATCATTCCCCTGGCTTTTTGAATGCTTACTCCCATCTCTCTCTCTTTTTTTTACCTGTAGGAAATATAATATCCGTGTGGAGGACATAATGGTGAGAGACGTGCGGTATATCACTCTCTCCTCCTCTTACCGGGATCTGCAGGAAGCTCTCATAACAGGCCAGCTTAAAACCCTGGCCTTGGTGGAGTCCAAAGGTGAGACATATAAAATATCTGTTTAAAGGTATATTTTGCACAACAAAATCAGTTGTTCTGCACATGTTCTTCATACCACTATCTTACATTAGGAATTTTAAAGGGGTCTTATTATGCTTTTTTTACTTTTTCAACTTTAGTTAGTCTGTAATGTTACTGTTTGAGCATAAAAAGATCTGCAAAGTTACAAAGTTCAAAGTCCACTTCAAAAGGAGATATTTTATTTAACAGAAATCACTTTTCAAAAACTACAACGAAAGACTCGTTTGGACTACAACGCATATCTTCCGGGATTTGTGATATCACAAATATCGACGAATGGGACGAGACCTGGTTGAGCTGCACTAGAGAAGGCAACGAGTGTTATCACTATGACAACAGTTGATAACACGCAGACACGCTAGCTTTCCCAAGGCAGACGAACTTAAAGTGGTTCCAATCATCCGGGTTTAAATCGCGCTCAAATTGATTTGATTTTGACACAATATTTACACTGAAGCTAGCAGGCGGCTATGGTAAGGGACATGACATTTCCCGACCAGGCACCGAGTGCTGCCAATCACAGCACACACTGACCCAGCTAACCAATCACAGCACATTTCGTATTTCAGAAGGCGGGCCTTCATTTGATACAGGAACTATTCGAGCCGTTCATGCCAGACTGGGGAGAGAGGTGCTGTAATAATGTAAAATATGTGAAAAATTATGTGTTTTTCGAACAACCTAGTATGAGAGCCTGTTCTAGTACACCCCCAAAACAAAATCAAGACTTCGTAAAAGAGCATAATGGGACCCCTTTAAGACCGTTTTAGACAGTCTTCTTCCCAAAGTGTCTTTTTTTCCCCATTTTGCCCAATATAGAAGAGTGATTCAGCTGAAATAACTCTGCAATATCAACTTTTGATTGCTGAACCATTTTCGGCAAGAAATGAGCTGCACTCAAAATGAGTTTTCAATTACTGATGCCAATATCTAGAGAGCAAAGTAGTGCGTGTGCATATGTGTGTGTGTACTTCATATAATGCATATATAAAATATGAGTTTTATTAATTTCTTTAAAAAAAACTTGCTGACAAAAACCTATATTATTATTATTACTATTATTATACTTTCTAGAAAGACTACATTAAACTGAGCAAATGTTACAGTAAAGAACTTTATAATGTTACAAAATATTTCTATTTTAAATAAATGTTGTTCTTTTGAACATCCTGAAAAAAAGCATGCACAAAAATATTAAGAAGCACCACTGTTTTGAACATTTATAGCGGGTAAAATAAGTATTGAACACGTCACCATTTTTCTCAGGAAATATATTTCTAAAGATGCTGTTGACATGAAATTTTAACAAGTTGTCGATAACAATCCAAGTAATCCATACATAAAAAGAAAGCAGAACAAATAAGTTCAGAAATTAAAGGGATAGTTCACCAAAAAATGAAAATTCTGTCATTAATTACTCACCCTCATGTCGTTCTAAACCCGTAAGACCTCCGTTCATCTTTGGAACACAAATTAAGATATTTTTGATGAATTCTGAGAGCTCTCTGACCCTCCCATAGACA